TCAAAACCCAGTTAGATTAACATTCATTGGATTGCACACTTTGTTTGTTTGTGTGGATATGTAGGACATTAACATTGTAATAGCACTTAATGACTGACTGAATGGAAATGACAATAAATGAAAATGTAAAACGAAAAAAGCGATCATGAAAATGTTTCCAAAAAATGAATTAAATGATTTTTGACCACTTTGTTGTTCAGATAGGCTATATCACATATTTGTAACTAAATGATACATGAATTGAAACAAAACACGGTATAAACTGAGGAGTGACTCCCGTGAGGTTCATGTATTTTCTTCACTCTGCTCTCATGTCAAGAAGCATCAGATCAGTGCATGCACTGCCTCGTCCAATCAGTGAGCGATACACAGTAAGGGGGCGGGGTGAGTATCTGAGGATTTCATCGGAGGATGGTCTGGTGGTTCCTCGGTTATCGCTCCTCCATTATCGCTCCTCGCTCCTCGATCCTCGGTCCTCCGGCAGAAATAAGAGCCATGGGACGGTACTCAAGATGGCGCAGACAAATCAACTTCCGGTGAGACCGAGGAGCGAGGAAATGAAAATAGTCGACCTGAGAAGCAGCCCTCGACTCCCCTCCTCGAGACTTAGACCCGCCCACAGGAGATGCGAGCGGAGGACCGAGGAGGGGAAGCAGCAGACGTTTAAAGAAATGAGAACTCCTCTCCTCTGAGCGGTCATTTTAAAGAGACGTCCGTTCATTATTACGTGGCAACAGCTGCATCAGCTGTCGAGTGTTTTGTCATAGCGCTGTATCTCTGTTAGATCAGCTGAACATTGTTCCCCCATATATTTACTTTGAATTCATTGAGAGTGCGGTATAATGAGACAATAACAGGCTACAGATGCGGACACACACACACACAAATATATTTATATAAATATATACAATTTAAAGTATGAGAGCACTCTCATAATAACGTAACACAATCAGAGACTGGATATATCCCCCCCCCCCCCCCCCCCCTCTCTGGTCGCTGAAATGGGGAATTTAAATTACGGGCCAAAAGTTGTATTTACAAGTAGGCCTATTAAAAGTAAGCAGAGGACACCAAACCAACTGAGACCCGTCTGTCCGCCGCATTTACGCACTGTACAACACACACCTACACACTGTACCACACACACACACACACACCTACAGCTCCTAAAGCATAAGCCGTTGTGTATTTTATTATGTGAAGCAATGGTCTTAGAAAAATATCGACTCTTTGTTTGTAGATATCTACTAAACTAAAGCAAATAAAGAGAGTAGGCCTGTTATACTGAGTGATATATATTATACACACTGCTCTGCTTTCTGCATGGACCTTACAGCTGTTCTCTCTGGAAACATCGCGACGCGATGAAAGCAGTTTCTAAAATAATATCCAGGGGATGCATGCATAGCTGTCATTGGCTGAGATAAGTCCGGCCGTGCGTCACGCCTCCACTGTTCCCGGAAATGCATCCGTGGAGGAACCATCAGTGTATCCTCGATGCTCGGTCCTCGGTGTGCATTTAGAGAAATGAGACGTCCTTCAAAATGGCGCGCTGAAATTCATTTCCGGGTCACTACCGGAGGACCGAGGAGTCGAGCAGGGGAAATTTGAGTATTGAGAAGCCTCTAAAGAAACCACGAGCAGCAGGGAAATGAGTTTTAAGAGCAATGGGACGTCCTTTCCTCCGGAGCGTCACGTGAAGCGACGTCCGTTTGTGATGACGCTGCACAGCTGTTCGTCTGGCAGCAGCCAGCTCTGTACCCGTTATTTCCACAAACACCCCCGCCTCTGTTAGTGCACATTTATTGACACAAACATTAGTATCATCTGTTGCAGATCCCAATAAATAAAAATAAAATAAGAAGTCATTCTCAAAAAAGATAAACGCCATTCTTAAAATGTATTTAAACGAACAATAGTTTGATTAATATTGATTAGAGTGCACAATAGGAATACAATTATTCAGAGAACAAAAACAGATATGTTATCTATCAAAACCCAGTTAGATTAACATTCATTGGACTGCACACTTTGTTTGTGTGGAGCAAATTAACATTTTAAATAGGACTTAATGACTGCGGTTTGGCAGCTGAATTAAAAGCTAAGCAGGTCAGTGACCACTTTTGTTCAGATCACATATTTGTAACTAAATGATACATTAATTGAAACAAAACACGGTATAAACTGAGGAGTGAGTCCCGTGAGGTTCATGTATTTTCTTCACTCCGCTGGGGTATTGCTCTCATGTCAAGAAGCATCAGATCAGTGCATGCACTGCCTCGTCCAATCAGTGAGCGATACACAGTAAGGGGGCGGGGTGAGTATCTGAGGATTTAATCGGAGGATGGTCTGGTGGTTCCTCGGTTATCGCTCCTCGATCCTCGCTCCTCCGGCAGAAATAAGAGCCATGGGACGGTACTCAAGATGGCGCAGGCAAATCAACTTCCGGTGAGACCGAGGACCGAGGAGCGAGGAAATGAAAATAGTCGACCTGAGAAGCAGCATGGGGCTGAAGTCCAATAGTCCATTTAGCTTAGGAACCTTCCTAACGGAGTGAAATGACCCGGAAGTACGTCACTGGCAGCCATGATAAGTGCCGTTCTAATTCTCCAAATGAAAGGAAAGGAGGTTTCAAACTTCCTATAACCTCCTTTAGCTTAGGAACCACTGGACCTCCCTAACCGAAAGGAGAGGAGAAAATGCTGCCCCACAATGCATTGCAGCCGCAGCATTTGACGTCACACAACAGTCGGCCGTTCATGGACACAAACGATAATGGGAGAAATTATATCATGAAAGTTACGGTGCTTATTAAGCATTTTAAAACGTATTGCCAAGTTGCCAAAGTGCTTTGTTTTGAACGTTCATCAGTAATATAATCAAAAAGAGAAATATGAACGTTAGTTTTTATAAACTAAAATACAAAATACAAGCAGGCTGTGGTTAAGTAACTCCTGCATGACCTGCTTTAAATCAAAGGAAGAAACTGTTAAATTAGTATATGAAACCCCGGTTGACAACATACATTTAAAGAGAATGTGACGCTTACAAAATAACTACTACAGGAACATGAAAGAAAAATAAAGAGCTTTATTCACCAAAAGAAAATAAATCACATAATTAAATCTGTGTTTAATTTCTATATTTACAGTACATCATAACAGTCATATGTGTAACAGTCTGTTGTGCGGAACTTAGCTAGAGTGTAAATAAATCAAAATGTATCATTGTTTTTATGCACACAGTTGCATGTCAAGTTTTTCGTTCGATGCACACGTACAGTTAAATTGCTTATCTTTCACTGGTGAACATAACAATAACAATAGTGGTGCATTATTGCGTCTATTTTTGGACCATTTTTGTAGCTAGAAGTCTGAAATTAGGTCTTTGGTACACAGAAATGTAAAAAAGATGTCATGGAATTATGGACTGCGACTCTCACATGGAGCAATTGGAAATCCTACAAAGTGGGTTGAAGTACTTCATCCTGTATCCTCGTTGCAGTATAAATTAACTTTAACATGTCAGCTCACATGCTCCATTACATAGCCGTTTTTTTGGAACAACATACTCAATTTCAGCATTGTAAAAGTTCTGTTCTTCATTGATTCACAGTCAAATGTACTGAGACAAGATATGACCAAGCTACTGTCTTGCCTTTTTTTTCAGTTTATAGACCATCCCTGAATCTAAACAAGTGAAGCAAATGCTGAAGTCACTTATACCTGCATCTTTATAATGGCAACCTGGTGGCCTGTCCACAGGTTGCAAAAGAAGCCCAATTGTATAGAAGTCTATGAAAAAATAACCCTACTTTTTACTTAATTTAGTACCTTAGTAAACATTTTAAACATGATTGTACGGTCTAAATCGCTGGTTTAAATTATTCACAAAGCAAGATGTTCATTAAGTTAATTATGGTCCCATTTTGAGTAAAAAGACACATTTGTGATTGACAGGTTGCTACCATGGTGTTGACCGGGTTGGATTTTGTCCTTGTTTTGTCTTCAACCCTTTCAAAAAGTGCGTTTTTAATTCATCTAAATAATATTGACATTTTTTATTGACTTGGCTTGAGTGGGACAAATGTCTCATCTTTCTGCAGTGATGTAGTCGTGCACTCCTGGGCGTGTCAGTACGCTGTGACATGTGGGTGTGGTTACCAGTTAAACACACTCTCCAAATTAAAAGAAATTAAACAACTGAACTCTTTAACAGTATTTAAAGATGGCTCATAATTTTCAAGCACTTTTGTGTTATTGCATTAATACATATTGGTTTTGGTCAGTTTATAACGTCTAATAAACTACATATTTACAGAACTGTACGCAGCTCAAGCAGTCTACTGGTTTCAGAACATTCAGGCAGCTTCATCCAGCAATCTCTGCAGGTTCTTCTGCACCTGGAAGAACGGACATGTCTGTTATTTTTGACTGCATGTTACATGATATACTTGTGCTCTAATGCACAAACATATAAGATCTGATGATAATAGACGTTTTTATTGGTCGGTTTCTATAACTCCATATGTACATCTCCACAAACTCCTACAAACTAGCAGTAACGGGAACCAGTACGCTCTGTAAAGAAAGCAAAAGCACATTCTCAAAGTGCTCTATTCCATTGATGCCATGTTGATGAAGTAAATCACTTAAAGGTCCCATGGCATGGCCATTTCTACTGATCATAATTCCATTGTTGAGGTCTACTAGAATAGATTTACATTGTTCAATTTTCCAAACTCACATTGGTTTCTCATACAGCATCTCTGTATAGTATGTGTATTCACTCTCTGTCCTACACGCCTTGTTGGAGCTCCTGCCCCCCCCCCTTCCCTGTGAGCCCAGTGTGCTCTGAGCTGACAGTGTGAGCTGGCTTACGGCCCGTCCATACAGCGGCGTGCATTGGACGCGGTTTGATTGGATAGAGCTTGTACTGGCATATGATTTGATTGGCTGACGCTTCCGTCGAAGCTTCAAGAGTAGAACATTGCTCTACTTTTGAAGCGAGCAATGCAAAGCGACGGAACCACAATGCAGTTTGGCAAAGCGTGACGTCACCCCATTCAAAGTGAATGGGCAGACGCGTTGAAGCTTCAACGCACGCTGCCGTGTGGACGGGCAGTTAATGGTGTGGTTTCCTGCTTGCTGCGAGACAGCTAGACATCACGAATGGACGCGGGAAGGGAGGGGGAGCTGAGGGGACTGCATCAGCCCCATTTGCGAGGCTGCACTAGCACCCGCATCGCACCCCCAAATGCGGCGCGCCACAGTGTAAGCGCGCCACAGTGTAAGCGCGCCACAGTTTAAGCGCGCCACGAGGCTCCACTAGCACCCCCCCAGCGCGTCACATTTTCGCCGCTAAAAGTGTGTGTGTGTGTGTGTGTGTGTGTGTGTGTGGAGCTCCACGGATTGGGTCCATTTTTGTATGGGCACGTCACCATGACCATACCCAGGAAGAAAACAATGGAAAAAGAGAAATGTCCAACGAGGCGTTCTGGGGCAGCACAGACAGCTCTTTTCTGTGTTAGAGTTTTACTCGCTACAGGGTGTACTTTGAGGGTTTGTGACTCTGCAGACCGTTTACATGCAGAAAAACCTTCATAACACACAAGGGGACGGGTAATAACCAGAAAAGCATATATTTATATTTAAGGATTCACTGTTGTGCCACAATATGTTATTGAGTTAAAATATCAATATTGTGGATTTCCAAGTTAACATTGATTGATATGACTGCGATTAAATCAGCATATACATCTGCCAGGGGATGCCACCCCTCAAAATCTCCTGCCACCCCATGAATATTTTTCTAGATCCGCCCCTGCCTACAGTGTAGCGCTCCACAGTTTCACCGCGCTGCGAGGCTCCACTAGCAGAAAAATCTCCAATCTCCAGGTCTTTTCTGTGTTAGAGTTTTACTCGCCACAGGGTGTACTTTGAGGGTTTGTGACTCTGCAGACCGTTTACATGCATAAAAAGCTACATAACACACAAGAGGACGGGTAATAACCGGAAAAGCTTGACATGTAACCTTTAACTTTCTTTATGGTTTTGTATTCTGTTAATAGTTTTGTATTCTATTAATCATTCAATCTATGGTTACTTATTCTCTTGCTGATAAGCTAACTTGTTATTTACTTTCCTTGTTATTTCTTGACCCACTAAGGATTGTTTCAATTTCTATTAGACGTTATATTTACTTCTCATTGCCCCAAAGTCCCATCCATCCACCAGATGTCCTCAGAACTCCCTAGCAGCAGTTAACCTGAACCTGTACTTGTGCCTACTCTCTATTCATCTATATCTCTATCTATTCATTTATTCCTTTATTTATTTTTACACCCCTCATTGATAAGTTTGATTTTGAATGTTGCCTCTAGTAAATTCCCTTTCATCCTAACTGCTTATCTTTTGTGAAATAATGTTAGTTCTCCTCCATCTATAAAGATAAACAACTTTAAATATCTACATTTCTAATCAATCAGGCTCTTGTTTCGTGTGTTGCTGCTGTTTGTTTTTAGGAGACGTGTGTTGGCCTGAAATGTTAATGTGCTCAGACACACACAGTGCAGACTGATGGATGAGGAACGAGCTCTTCTTACAGGTGACGTCCACACTTCTCTATATGAACAGATCAATGACTATAAATGTTTGATTAACGGCAAACAAGTGTCCGGTTACACTTTGTCCTGAAGCCTTCCAGTTCTGCTTCTGACACAAAGCGTGTTGATTTCACATGTTGATGAGCGGAAAACAACTTTTCCACTCTTTCCTTTGTAGTAATTACGTTTATAATTTTAAAGAAGGTACTCATGGGGAAAAGTTAAAGAAAGGAGACGTTGGTTGCATCATCTTAAAAACAAATCAGCAGGGGTGGTTATTCAGTGCATAAAATATCCTGAACTGACTATTTTGTCTGCTTTTTACATTGTATTTACCTAAAAAAAACAATACTTTTACATAAATTAATGATAAAATATTGAAACTTATGTTAACGCCATCCAAAATGTCTGGACACAAAATATAAATTCCAAGATATTTAATTCTTATATAGTCTTCTGAGTTTTTTTTAAAAACTGATCAAAAGGTTTTTTGTTCAAGACAAAGGCCTACTCCCAAAAACTTCCAAATTCGCCCTAAGGCAACTGTTGATATTTGGAATTTTAAATTCACACGATAAATACGATTTTTAGGGATTAATACAATCATTTAATAATTCATTTTAATGTAACCCTATGAGACACAGATAGACAGACCGACTGACCTTCTCCAGCTTCATCAGGTTAATGGACAGCAGTTCAGAAAAAAGCTCTGTGTTCACGTCACTCGCCCCCAGAAATTCATTTCTAGGGGGTAAAAACAAGAATGGTGGATATTAATTCTTAAACATGAATTGAAATGTTTGTGTTTCCATGCCCTATGTTGTATATTATGGATTAGATAGCTAGTTATTTCAGTGTCTTAGTAGCCTTGAATCTTGAACATCATTTCCCAGGGTCTGCCCTGACCTCATAACTTTGTCTCTCTATATAATGTAAATAGCGAGAACATTTTAAAGGTTACTTCAATATACTCGCCACATGTCATCCTTTTGCGGCTTTCCCTGTGTGGAAAGCATCGACACAGCATCAGAGTGTCACCCATGGCGTTTTAATACCATAAAATAGGACTCTGACATCTCCAGTCGCTTCACAGAGCATCTTTTTCAAAGTGGATTGATGAAAATAGCCCTTTTTAATATCAAAGACGATCATAGTAATGCATAGTGGAGTTAATATTAATCCATCTTTTAATATCAGTTCACCATGGGTTTAAGATGAAAGGACTAGCAAGTGGAGCCTAATATTTAGGTTTTTTTTGTTTGTCATGTTTTGTACAGAATTACATTATTTGAGTATACAAATTATGTACTTTGTTACATTCCAACACTGTCAGAGTATATCAAATACTCCGGTTGGCAAGACTGCTGTAACGTTTTACAGCATGGCTTGAACTTGAACTGACTGCAACGGGAGTTCCTACAGTGGCTAACAGGGGGGGGGGGGGTCTCCGGAGCTGCAGTCCACTCAACCCGCAGGGAATTGTCTCCAATTAGGAAGTGAGGGAGAGGGACCATGGGGAGGGGAGGGGTAGATACTGTAGCTAAATCTTTGTGGTCTGATATACACAAATTGATCAAATGAAGCGGCTCATATCTTTCTTTTTCCCCAAGTAGACCTGATAATACTAGAGCGTTGTTTAGATGGGGCTGACGTTCTCTTTAAACATCCATAACACAGTCGCGCGGAGCAGGGTTGATGTGGAAGTGGTTAAATATATACAGGGTTGGAAAAACAGTAGATGCCTGTGGGAAAGTCTTATCATAGCGTAACAAATTGGTCCCATATTTGCCAACTTAGGGAGACATACATTTACGGGATCTGCAAATACATAGGTTTTGACAATCCATAAGTCTGAAAACATTTGAAGGTGAGGTGTTTCAATAAGTAGGAACATGTATACATACATTCATCCTGCTCTTCTAGTTCAGTCTGTAGCTAAAGGTGACATTTTTTGTGAACTCACTCCTGGTGGGGGAACTCGGAGACGGAGCCGAGCGTAGTCAGTCTCTGCTCCAATGAGACGACCTTAAAGGCCAGGTAACAGGAAGACAGGAACAGGACACACACTCTGGGACACACACACACACACACACACACACACACACACACACACACACACACACACACACACACACACACACACACACACACACACACACACACACACACACACACACACACACACACACACACACACACACACACACACACACACACACACACACACACACACACACACACACGAGGAGTGAGTTAACGTGTGAGTGAAAATGAATCAGAAAACAAAAACGTACTTATTTTTAGTTGAATAAAGAAATGTACATATTAACAAATACGTGAATATACAATTGAATAGAAAAAATACATTAATTAATAATTTACTGATCAAATTGAAACATGTACCTCATCAATTAATTAAGATGAATGTAAGAATCATGGCAATAGAATGGTTATGAGTTGACTGGCAGTGGACTCACAGTAACAGGTAGATTAACAGCAGTGTGTTGAGAGAAACTGGTTTCAGAGTTCTGCTGTCAATCACCAGCTCTGAGCCCGGAACTGAAAGGAAAAATATGTTTGTTACTCTGAAAAACGTAATTGGTTATTTTATTGATTTGTGAAATATAGTAAGGAGAAAAATGGGTTGTAATTTATCAACTTTTTGTCACAAGGGACATTTGAACCTCATTGAAAATGTCCATCCTATACAGTTTTTGATGCACTCTTTTACTTATCTCCCTTGGGGTGTAGGTTGTCTAACCTCAACATTAACAACAACTGTCCCATAAGGAAGGACAATGTCAACCTTATCAGGTTGAAATAGTTAACCATAAGCAGAGATGGGGTCGTTACTAAAAAAAAGTAATATATTACATATTACTTTAAAAAAAGTAATATATTACACTACTTCGTTAATCTCTACATAAAGTAACTCGTTACTTTACTCGCAGGGCCGGCCCGCCCCTCCCTACAAGCAGATCACGCAGACTGCGGCGCACCTACAGCACCGGTAACTTACCGGTCCTCTAAATTATATTGTTGCTGCTTCGGAGTCGGCACACTCACAACATCCTCACTCTGGGTTCAGGGGTCCTTAGCTATTAGCTTGACCTTAGCATGTGTTCTTTGCAGGTGTTTGTTGAGGTTTGACGTGGTGTTTACAGCAGTGGATAACAGCTTCTGGCCTGGGCACAGTTTGCACCTCACCGTCACATTCCTGTCTATTCTTCGGACAAACTCAAAATAATGGGCATACCTCCACCCCTCGAAAGTTATCGCTGACTCAGCCATGTTTATGCAGCACTGTACGTGGAGATGTGGACGCGCAGATTACGTACCCTACATATAAACCTGGGGCGGAAACCCCTCTTGTCTGTCAGTGTGATTATGACTGATTTTATAAAAGTAACGAAGTAATGCGTGTCGGGGCAATGTTAGTAGGCTTAACTGTAGTGTGATTACTGAATTATAAAATGCGTTACACTACTCCGTTACCGACAACGCGTTACACCCAACTCTGACCATAAGCATAACAATTGTGTGTGATTAGGACATATTGGACAGTTTGTGGCTACAGTGTGTTGGATAAAACAATATTTAGATCCAATTTGGATTATTTTAGAATGTGTTGAGTGCAGTGGCGGCGCCAGAGATTTTCTCTAGGGGGTGCTATGGGGTAGCTTGACGTTTCATAGAGGGTGCTCAAACATTAAAGGTGGGGTAGGTAAGTTTGAGAAACCGGCTCGAGATACACTTTTTGTTATATTGCATGCAATGCTCTTAACATCCGATAGCAATGAATATCTTAAGTGCTTTAACAAAAAATCCATAATAAAATGTCATCTGTGGAAGCCGTGGCGCTGTAAAAAGCACGACCAATTATTTTAGCCGGCCCGGCTAAAATAACTGGATGGCCTACCTGCCTGTCAGCCTTCCATCTGTGCACAAACTTATCTCGTGCCCTCATTGGTCATGTGCGCGTTCGTGTGTGTTGGAGGAGGGGTTCTCTAAGGAAGTGGCAGATTTTTTCCGGTTGTGTATTTTCAAATTCTAGCGCACTCAAGCTGGTTTCTCCAAAATTACCTACCCCACCTTTAAGGGTTTCCCATTAATGCACCAGCGCTACAGTTGAATTTTCTACTGCAACACTCCTCACACGCACACACAGTGCACCCGCGACTGTTACAATGAAGGCTCGATAATCAGCTCACAGCATATAGGCCTAGGTGTAAGCAGGGGTAAAGTGCTATTTTTACAAGTGGGGAGTGGACCTCACCTCCTCTAGGGGGGTCTGGGCAGGGGCGGATCTAGACAAATATTCATGGGGTGGCAAGAGGGTGGCAGGAGATTATGAGGGGTGGCATCCCCTGACAGAAGTATATGCTGATTTAAATCGCAATCATATCAATCAATTAGGGGTGTAACGGTACACGTACCCGTACTGAAATTATTCGGTACGGGCCCTTCGGTTTGGTACACGTGTGTACCGAACGAATATAGCGTTAAACGTAAAAAATTGATAACATGAACAACTTTCTGGAAGTAATCTCAGGTATATATCATAGAGCGACCAAGTCATTTCATTGGACGAGAGGCATACTATGAGAGCTGGTCACAGGGATGCGTTCAAATGTAGTCAGTAATTTGAGGAACTGGCGAAATGGCGAACGCAGATAAAGTTGAGCTCGAAAATCCTCCAGCATCATTGAAGTCTCCGGTTTGGGAACATTTTGGTTTCGCAGTTACGTACAAGGATGAAGGACAAAGACAGGTGGACCGAACCAAAGCTGTTTGTCGGCATTGTTCAACTAACATTGGTTACGCGGCTGGCAATACATCACACTTGCACTCATTTGAAAAGGCATCACCCGAACGTGAATATCACCGGTACCAAAAGAAAAAAGACTGAAGTGCAAACCCAACTCCCGCTAGCATGTTAGCCTCCACCACACGCAAAAAGTTCAGACCGAGCCAAAGCTAATAAAAACGCCAAATATCCTTATGTTGCCATGTTAGCAAAGCGCTACCTGGCTGTATCTGCTGCCTCTGTCCCTAGAGAGAGGGTGTTCTCCACAGCAGGACACATTGTTAGTGCCAGCAGATCTGCCCTTTCAGCAAGCAATGTGCACAAGTTCATTTTTCTTTAAAAAAACATGAAAATACAATGACAAGCAAGTCCTAATGTCAAACTGGCTGCTTAGGTACTAGTACAGTTCAAGTACAGATTATTTCAGTTCATCGAAATGCTGCACCTTAATGTTCATTTTATTATATTTTGTATTTATTTGAGTGAATACATTATTCACAGTTTAATAATAATTAAAAACCCAAAACTAATAGTTTATGTTTTGTGAGTACTAGTACAGTAAAGTTCAAATACAGATTATTTCAGTTCATCGAAATGCTGTACCTTAATGTTTATTTTATTATATTTTGTATTTATTTGAATACATTATTCACAGTTTAATAATAATTAACAAATATATATTTAATGTTTTGTGATAATTTGTTCTGCTGTACCGAAAACGTACCGAACCGAACCGTGACCTAAAAACAGAGGTACGTACCGAACCGAAATGTTTGTGAACCGTTACACCCCTACAATCAATATTAACTTGGAAAGGCACAATATTAATATTTTAACTCAATGACATAGGTGATATTATTGTGGCACATCAGTAAAGCCTTACATATGCGTCTGCCACATAAGGTGGCAGACGTAATTTAATGAATTTTAACTGAATGAGTTTGTTTCACTCTTCGACCAGCAGGGGAACCAAATCTATGCAGACTGCTGCAATAAGTATATTAATTAACTGTCTCATCGATGTTTGTCTGAATGAATATGATACTATTAACAATCATATTATTCCTATCACTGTTAATAAATAATAATAATAATAATAGATTTAATTTGTTAGCGTTTTTACAGGTGCTCAAAGACGCTTTACAGATATAGTGAAGAACTGTTATGATTCACATATTCATTTATTATTGAATAAACTATATTTTTTGGAGGAGTTAATGATGAATGTTCATCAAGATGCTTGCTCACCCTCCTTCAAATTTGAAAAACAAGTAATTATATCATTATTGATATACAGTTACAACCTTGACTTTACATCAGAAAGAACAAACATTAAAGAAGTGACTAACTGCATCAGTTAGGGTTAAAAAACGTGTATTCAGCTAAAACATAAACATCGCTGCAGTTATTATCCAGTGGAAGGTCCTTACATACACGCCTAGTTAAATCAAAATGGTTACTTTCTGTTGGCTGGGCAGTGTAGTTTTACACACCGTCTTATTTTACTTTCTCAGGACTTAAAACTGTTTTTTGGGGGCAGACCCCCCAAAGAAAAAAATATATACACGCATACAAGGTCATCATCTTAACAATTTGTTATTCTCATCGAGTCATCCGTGAGCAGAGCATCAAGTTGGCATGCCTATTACAGCTGAATGCGGCGATTACTATTTTGTTCAGCAAAACGCCTCACAAACTTATTAAGATCAACAGCTGTAGTGCGTTTTGATTCAATGCTGAGTACAGCCAAACTTGACATTCTCTTCTCTGTCAGTGTAGACCGCAACTACCTCATTCCTTCAGTGCTTGGGTCCGAAAGGCTTCTCGTTTTGCGCCGTCCCCCGGTTCAAGTGAATTCGCCACCAATCATATTTCCACTCTCGCGCCAGGGACGGGGGAGGGGTTACATGAGGTGCATCTTGTGCTGCATTCACGAGCACTCGGACATTCAAGACTTTCTCTCATAAATGTCCGATGAGCCACAACTTTTCTTTCAAAACAAAGATGCCAACTGGGGTGGCAAGGCTATTGTTTAGGGTGGCAGGTGCCACCCCATGCCACCCCGGTAGATCCGCCCCTGGGTCTGGGGGCATGCTCCACCGGGAAAGTTTTTTTTTAAATATTGCAGTTAAAAGCATCAATCTGGTGCACTTTGAGAGCAAAATGAAGAGATCTATGGATTCATCTCTCAACACCAGGGACGTGCACAGGTACGGGCTAATGTTGCCCGGGCAACGGCCCGTTTGGCCTTTTTGGCTGACCTGCCCCTCTGGAGAGAGCGAGAGTTTCTTTTTCTTTTTTCTGTTGTGGCCGAATCAACATGATAAGCCCACAATTAGTATTGTAGCGTCTCGCTGCGGGAAACACACTTTGTCAGCGCTGTCATCTGCCGGTGCGTTAAGACCACCTCAGTGTCGGATTTTGGAAACTTGATTTTGAGTTGACTCTTGATACCGTCGGTTATTTACAAAAAAACACCTAAATATAGCCTACTTGTTGTTGTTGTGCTTCTGTCTTTCTGTGTCTTCTCATCTGTAAACTCCCTCAACGCGCCGCTCTCTCTCTCTTTTCTTGATCGCCCTCTCACGGGTGAACAGTTCAATGTCCCGCTTCAGTGTAGGATTTCTGCCATGTCTCTACCACTTTAGTTTGACCATCTCTGTTACTAAGTTATTGAATACTAAATAACTAAGTAATTAGATACCTTACCATTACTCCGCTCATAAAGAATGATAAGAATAAGAATAATGCGTCTTGAACTGGTTTCATTAATTAGTGAGTTTATTTAAGGTAATTAGTTAGAGGCCCTATTTTATCAGTATGTCTGCACAGCAGTTACAATGGTCAAACTACATTAGAACAGAATTGTCCCCATTTTATCTTTAATAGTTACTAACATTAGATATTTTAATGAGATATGGACCGCAAAACATTTTTAAAATCAAGTCACCGAATGCAAGTACTCGCCTTAGCTTATTTTGTTATGAGATGTGAATCACTGTTCAATTTAGTTGATGTAATAATCGTTTGGTTTCTATTAAAAACAAGTTACAATTTTCAAAAGGTCTTGTGTTTTTTTCGGGGGGAGGCCCTTTTTCCAGTTTAGAGCAATAGCCCCTCCAAATGTCTGTGCACGTCCCTGCTCAACACCCATATGAAACAGAACTGTAAACAGATTTTCTATTTCTTTATAGATATTTTACAAATCACTCCCCTTTTAAAACAAACCGGTTGAGACCCACTGAGATAACTAGCCTATCTAAACACTGAGAGTCCTTTACTTCACCTGAGGTTATCTGAGACTCTCAGTCTGACAGGAGAGAGTTCTCCCTCCACCTTGTTGTTGAAAAAGCTCCTTATATCCGTTAGCTTGGCTAGCTAGCACCAGATGCTAACCACAACGATCTCCGGTAGATACCCACCGGTGCGCTCGCTCGCGCACGCACACAAAATGGCTCGGGGGACACACACACACACACACACACACACACACACACACACACACACACACACACACACACACACACACACACACACACACACACACCACACACACACACACACACACACACACACACACACACACACACACACACACACACACACACACACACACACACACACACACACACACACACACACACACACACCACACACACACACACACACACCCACACACACACACACACACACACACACACACACACACACACACACACACACACACACACACACACACACACACACACACACACACACACACACACACACACACACACACACACACACACACACACACACACACACACACACACACACACACACACACAGCAGAGCTTGAATGAAACACAGAGACCCAGTCAGAAGTAAGCTATTTGTACTCACGAGGCCTATTATGTGCAGAATCCCTCTCGCTTTCAGGTGGTTTTGATTGAGTGTCCACAAGTGGACATTTAAGGACTAAAAAACTATACATTTTTCACTTTGCTGTTAGCAAATAAGTTGGCGCTCTAGCTAACATGTGCACTCAAGTGTCACAAAGTAATTTAGCCTATGGGTAGGTCAAAAATCTAATGGGTGCTGGCCATTGGCCTAATCATATCACCTGTGTTGGCTTCCGCACCCCCTAGCTCCCCCCTGGCACCACCCCTGGTTGAGTGCAGTTGGAGTATTACAGACTTGATACTACAGCAGGTTGTACTGATTAGGTGGTGCTGCCAGGGGGGGGGGGGGGATAGCACAACCAGCTAATACAATGGCTGGCCCTTCGTTTGGAGTTGACAATACATAACATGGGTTTGGATGGTGTTTTAAAATTGAGGAAGGCTTGTTCCCAATTTTCTTCCAATAAAAGCTGTATATTTGTGTTTTTAGGGAAAAGTACAACTACTAAGTAATCACATGTATTTATAGACACATAAGGCCTGTTGCGTAACTCAGAAATTAACCTTCTTGTTCTTGGTCTATGCACATCAGTGTCCCAACTCTTTCCATATCTTACCAATTGAAAGAATAAGTAATGCAATGCAATGTGGGAGTGCTGCAGCTTTGACAACTGTTGCGGTGTCACTGTTCTGTTTTGCAAGAATTAGTTTAGGTAAAAGTAGTCCATCCAGCGTGATGCGCCTGGCTCACGCAACTTTCAAACTAGGTGATGTGTTGCCCACTTATTGCCTCAATTTGGATTGTTTGGAATAATAGCAGAACATTTACTGTATGAGCATGACTCACGCCATGTTGTTTCCTGAAATAGTAACTGCCTCAACTGGCAGCACGTTTTCTCAAGTTTTGACAAGTCAAGCAACCAGTTGACTGGAAAGTGCTCACAAATTAACTGTGAGTCTGTACATCAGATTATTGCTAACATTAACTACCAATGTTAATGTTACATAAATCCAGTTATGGCTTTTGGTTTTGGTGTGTCAACCCTAGATGTTTAATGACGCCAACTGGCCAAGCCTATGAAAACTCTTTGTGGACGCCACTGCTGTGAGACAACAATCGTACCAGTGTAGTGTGGAGCATGCTGCGAGTTGTCTGGGATCTGCTTGCTCTGGTGCTGGCTCTTCACTTTGTGCTGATGGTCTGGATGTTCAGGTGGAGCTGCACTGTCTGTGCGCTTCAACACATCCAGAAACGGAGGAACAGGGAACCCTGCAAACATTGGAGAAACACAAAGCAGTGTGAATAGGAAGACTTTTCAATGGAAACCCTTATATGTCAACATCCCAGATTTTAGTTGATCGGTTTCCCGTTCTATTTTTTCTTTCCTTGTGTCATGTCTATTTTTACGTCTGTCATGGAAAGTGGAGCACGGTGGACTCAAACGCAGTAGACAGAGACACATCTAACAGAAACAACTTTTTTTAAAAGCCATGGTCTGGACAAGACAAGGCTTCCCGATGTACAACCAACAAGACTCGGACAAAGACTAAACAGAGAGCCAGGGTTGTGGTCAAATTGTCTTGTTTGTTTAGGAAGGTTGCTAACAGAATGAAAAGAGTTGGAACTTCCAAAGCGGCAGCCATGATAAGAGCTGTTGAAAGTCTCTACATGATAAGAAATGCATTTTAATACCTCTTTTATTATCTGCTTTAGCATAGGATAAACTGAACCATCCTTGACGAAGGAAACGAGATTATGCTATCCCACAATTATTTGCGGTTGTAACATTTTGTGACTGTCAAACAAAGATAATGCGAGTAGCAAGTGTCCCTGAGTGTACTGTAACTGCAGTCTGATTCTCCTAGGACTGCGGTTGTATAAGTCCGGATGAATTCTCCTTCTCATCATTCTTTAACCCTCTGACATTTTGCACTAAAGTTCAAATGTCTAGATTCCTTTGACTATATCTACCATAGTCTAGGATTTATATAAAAGCAGAACAGTTGAGGGGATAAAGTGCAGGCATTAGGTGGTTTCAGGACAGGAAAAACAACAGAAACAAGCAGGAGAAAACACAAGAAAAAGGAGTACAAACCAGTGGCGGTTCTAGAACATTTTACATGGGGGGGCAAAGGGGGGGCAAGAGGTCATGCCAGGGTGGCATGGGAGGGCGGACAGTACGTGGTATTTTATACTGTATATAACCTATTTATTGTTATTTCATGCCCTAACACAAGTGTTCTTAATGCACAAGAGAAACAAGGTGTTCAGACAAACAATCGGGTGCCCTTTGAGTCCCCCAAGCTTACCTCAACCATTTTAAATGAAAGGAAACTACAAAATGTATTTTAAAGCAATGAATTAATGGAACAGGTTTTTTTGCATTACAATGTAAAACTAAATATATATTTTGTTTTAAAAAAATTGGTTTTCTTAGTATTAGACCGACATATTTGCATGTCCTCACTAAGCATTATTACATATTAATTTAATATCAAACCAATCAAAATGGCCAATTATCCCAAAATGTTGCTGCTAATATAATCATATGCTTGTCAACAAAAGTGTCAGTTTCTTCTCTTACCTATATTTCAGTTTTTGTATTTTCAGATTAAGATTGACAAACTCAACATTTCAACTTATAATTAAGTACACAAATGACATCACCCATCTCTTCAGAGAGCTGAAGGTGACCTGTGCAGCAACACATTTCAATCAATATTTGTCAATACTAAGAGCTGCTAGATTGTGCTGCTGTGATGGAATATGTAAGGAGAATAAGAACATACCATGTGGTCCAACTGGAGTTTCATCTGCCTCCTGATCCCTGCCTCTGTCCCTCTTTCTGACCCCCAAACACACCAGGAGCGTCTGCGTCGCGTTACGGCCGCGCCGCGGCGGTCGTAAGAATCGCGGCCACTCTAGTCAATGGGTGCTATTACACCACACGCGCCGGGTTACGGCTCAGACGCGTCCCAGAAGCGGCTCGGCGCAGCGCTTCTCTAAAATTAGGATGAATCCTATTTTTGCCGCGGCGCAGCCGTAAGGTAAAGTTGGGCAGGCAGCCCTCGCAGGAAGTGGAAAGGTGAGCATCCGGGCCAGGCCCATCCCCCACATATACTAATTTAGCAGACCCCACAACACCTCCACTACGAAACGCACCATGGACGACGAGGTGTTCATAATGGAAGTGGAGAAACACACAATTTATATACAATATATACAATTTAATATTACAATTATTATTAACTGTGTCTGTAGTCTACAACACAACAAAATAGGAAATAACAACAATAAACACGATTTAAACAGACACAAACATAAACCATTTAACTACGTATAGCCTACTTACTTGTAGAAGTACAAATGTCCAGGAAATATTCCAAAATCAACAACAACTGCAACGTTTTGAAACACGTCTGGTGTGTGTTGTTGCAGGAGGAGGTCGCAGCGTGGCGCAGCCGCAACGTAACGCGGCGCAGACGCTCCTGGTGTGTTTTGGGGGTGATACTTCATCTTTATTCCTCACATACATTTCTTCTTCTTCACTAATGTCTTCATCTCCTCCTCCTGCTCTGACCCTCCTGGTCTCTTCATCTCCTCCTCTTCCTCCTGCTCTGACCTTCCTGGTCTCTTCAGTGAACTCTCTTTTCCTTTTCCTCTTTCTGTTCGTCCTGATCACTTCTCATATGTATTTGTGTTGTTGTTGAATCACTCCTATACTCTGGCCTGCAAGAGTCTACTTGTGAAAAGCACTGGTACAAATGCTTGTATAACTTTAGGCCATGTAGCCTAGCTAATATGTAGCATATCATAAATATAACATCAGAAAGTATTGATCAAGCGCACACAGGCAGCTGTGTTTGGATCCAGTTTTGACAGTAAAGGATGTATCCTGGTTTCATCGATCTGGCCTCATTGCTGTGATGTGTAGTTTACGTGGATTTAATAGTAGGCTACCGCGTAGTTTAGCAAAGTGATCGATCTCCCAGCTAACGCTGTCTGCGTAGTATTTTGTAACGTAACGCCCCAAACAGAGCCCGTCTGTTAAACGCTATCGATTCAAACGGCAGCGTTTTATTAATATTTAGTTTCAAGCTCTCGTCCTTAGTAAAAACAAAACTAGTGGAAAGGGAAATGCTCCCAGGGGAAGCTGATCCATAGGTGCTGGGACAGCTCGCTCCCTCTCTGCAGCGGTGTGAGCCGCGGTCTGTGTGAACGCCGCTCCGCAGTCTAACAGGGCCGTAGCTGCGTTTTTAACGGGCCTAAAATTATATTTAAAATGATTCACTTTTAACTAATGTAATGCTTGTTTTGTTGCTTGAGAAGCTTGTAAAAATAGTGTAGGTTTGTTTTAGTTCAGTTTTAGGGAAACAAAAGTTAGGGGGGCAGCTGGGGGGGCAAGGCTCTACAGTGGGGGGGGGGGGGCAGCTGCCCCCCCCTCCCCCCCCCCCCCCCCCCCCCGTAGATCCGCCCCTGGTACAAACAGATATGACACAGGGAAAGGAAAAGTTAGACCAGGAATAAGATCCACCAAAAACTGGGTTCATGACAGAGTGCGTCCACGAGAAAGACTTTGTTACTGCTGGTAAAATAACTCCACGGCGTAATAAGACACGACGGCCCGCCTTCTCTTTTCTCTCCTTGTTGTTTAATGGTGGAGCGTGTTCAGGTGTTACATTACATCCCTATATTGTTAATCTCTTCCCTTGAGCGTTTCTCAGGGGTAATGAACTCATATCTAAGCTATCCAGCATTAACTTCTCCACACAAACACTTAAATGGATAGAATCATATTTGTTCAACCGTTCTCAGTATGTCAGAGTACAGAATAATCAATCATCTAACCTCCAGCTGTCCACAGGTATCCCACAAGGGTCAATTCTGGGTCCATTGTTATTTTCATTGTATATAAACGACTTACCATCAATATGTCCTGACACAAATATCCAAATGTATGCTGATGATGCTGTAATTTATGTTCACGGAGGCAGTCTGACACAAGTGGCTACTGAACTGACGAACAAGATGGTTCATGTAACAGCTTGGTTGGAGCAATGCTGTCTGCAACTAAATGTCAGTAAAACTGTATGTATGTTCTTCACCAAAACCAAGTCCTCCTGCGTTGAGCCAGATGTGTTTGTGTCCGGGGAGAGGCTACAGGTGGTCTCACAGTACAAATACCTGGGGGTCTTAATTGATTCAAGACTCAATTTTAAGTCTCAGGTGAAAAAGGTTTGCAACAGGGTCAAATTCAGTCTGTCAAATTTGAGGTTTACCAGAGACTGCATGACAACAGATGATGTACATGCACTCTATGGTTCTATCTCACATCACCTACTGCTTAACAACCTGGTCACATGCATGCACAACCACTCTTAAACCCCTGGAATCATTATACAAACAAACACTTAAAATAGTAGATAAGCAATCAGTTTATTCTCATCATTGCCCAATACTCACAAAATACAACTTGTTGAGCTGGGAAAATGTAATTAGATAAGCAAATGCTTGCCTCATGTACAAAATAATACACGGCCTTACCTCACCTCCGCTCAGGCATTTTATCACCATACGCACACCTGTAACTAGGTCAACAAGAGCTGCAACAAGAGGAGACTGTGTTGTTCCATTAAGCAAGAGTTCATTCAGCCAATCTTCTTTTTCTTTTAAAGCTGCACAACAGTGGAACTCAATCCCAGTAACGATTAGAGAACAAAACACCAGCAGTTTATTCAAATCTAATTTAAAAACATGGTTAGTGGAAAGTCAGCTCTGTCAACACTGACACAATCTGCACTTTACAATGCTCTGTACACATGTGCCTTGACCTGTTGCTATCTGTCTGCTTTGTGAATATGTATTTTTGTTTTGTTTTTATGTTTTTTATATATGCTTTTATCAAAATATAAGCATCTATGTTGAATGTTGTTTTACTGATTGTATTTACCTGTCATTTGAAGTGACATCTTTTTTTAGGATGACATTCAACATCTGTCCAGGGACTACAGATTAAAAATAGCCTGTTGGCTAACTCTGGCGCATTTACAGAAATGTTAATCAATGTGCACTGTCCCTGTCAAATAAATAAATACAAATTAAATTAACAACCCGCGATGCCTACTGCAGCGATGAATGAAATAAAGAGGAGAGGAGGAAGTAAACAGTCCCTTCACAGAGGGATGCATTGAATGCCCACTGTATAGTTGTCATGTGAATGCAACCAGCTGAAATTCTAATGTATGACGTGTGTTTGCTAATTTAGAGCCTGTTAGAGTTGGACTTTTAGTAGTAACAATATTGGATCTTTGAAAGTATGAGCTTATAATTTGTAGCTTTCTGCTGCACTGCTGCTGATTGGTCGGTTGGTGATACCTGCTCTCTTGTCGTAGTCGGGGGTCTGAGAGTCGGAGCTGCTGCTCTCCTCCATCTCTTGCCTCCTCTGTCTCACTGCTACGTCCAGATCACAGAACTCACCTGGAAAACTCTGCAGAAAACCACAGAAACACGGAAAATATGTTGGTTAGTAGGAAAGTCACTTATTGAGAATCAGAAATCAAAATTACAGTACTCATGTTTGTCAGCAGAAAGAAAATGATGGATGTCAAAAAGCAGAAGAAGAGAGGAAAAAACACACAAGACAAACACACTTGGATGCCTTTTAGTCAGTTAAGCCACCCCAGAAAGAAAAAAATTATCACAATTTGGGATATTAATAGTGTCTCAAATGTTCTTGCTGTTCTCTCTCTGTATTCTGGATTTTTTTTTTTGTAACCTTTATTTAACCAGATAAAAGCATTGAGACAATCTCATTTGCAATGCTGACCTGGCCAAGAAGGCAGCAACGTTATACATAACACAAACATATAAAATACAGAGAACATAACTAAGAAAACAAAAGATGAAGAAGCAGTCACTCCATTGTGCACATTAGGACAGTAAGAAATGTGCACTACTTATTACTGCAAGAGCAGCTGCTGGTAAGGACTTCAGACAACTTCAATTTAAAACATGCTATTGAGACAAGTGCCGTCAGTTTAAGGCGTGATTGAAGGTCCTTCCAAGACCAAGGACCATAATAAAAAAGACTCCTTTTCCCAGCCTCAGTCCGCACAGCAGGAACCTGGAACCGTATCCAGGGACTGTATCTGAGGTTGTAAGAGTCACAAACTGGAGCAAATCTGGCACATATGTGGAAGCTTACCTAAAATGGCTTTATACATTAATAAAAGCCAATGCTGCATCCTACGTATACTAAGTGAGGACCATCCAGTTAGGCTATACAGTTTGCAATGATGAGTCCTATAGGGTGCATTTGATATATAACGCAGTGCAGCATGGTAGAGTGGGTCAAGTTTGGCCAAAACAGTGGGACAGGCAAATCTATAAATCGTATCACCGTAGTCCAGCTGGGACAGGAATAAGCGAGAGACCAACCTTTTACGGGGTGAAGTTGAAAAACAACATTTAAGTCTGTAAAGGAAGCCAAGAGTGCATTTCAATTTCTTTGACAGAACTTCAATATGGTGTTTGAAGTTCAGATTACTGTCCAACCAAAAGCCAAGATATTTGTAGGTATCGACAAACTCAACAGAGACGCCATCAAGGGTGTCAATGGAGAGGCAAGAGGACGCTGACTTGGGAGCAAAAAGCATTGCTTTGGTTTTCTTACTGTTCAAAAGCAGTTTGGAATCAAGAAGTGCATGCTGCAGCGTGATACAATCAGATTTTAAATTGGAAATGGCCATATCCAGAGAAGGAGCACATGAGTATACAATAGTGTCATCAGCATACATATGATAGGTAGAAAATTGCATCTGATTACAAATATTGTTTACATATAATAAAAAGAGCAAAGGCCCCAAAATAGAGCCCTGTGGAACTCCCTTCTCCAAGGTGACTGGCTCAGAGACAGTACCACCCAGCCTGACACATTGGGTACGGTCGGTTAGATAACTCTGAAACCAGCAAATGGCATTATGACCGAAACGAGACATCAACATAACATTAGACATAATGTGGTGATCTAGTGTCAAATGCTTTGGCTAGGTCAATAAACAATGCAACACAAAGAGATGTTGTATCCAAAGCAGCCTTAATATCGTCTAAGACTTTCAGACTGGCAGTCACAGTACTGTGCTTTGATCTGAATCTGAGTAGAAGCTAGGGACTCAAGAATCTTTGATAACACAGAAAGATTTGAGATAGGACGATAGTTATTCAACTCTGTGGGATCACCAGCTTTCAAGAGGGGCGATACCAGAGCTTGCTTCCACACAGCTGGCAGTGTGTGAGTGGACAGGGAGAGATTACAAATATCAGTTACTGGTTGTGCTATAATCTGAGCTGCAATTTTTTTTAAAGAACGGGTCGAGGCCGTCAGGCCCGGCACTTTTTAGGATCAATTGTGTGCAAACCCTGTAAGACTTCAGAGACCGTGAAATAAGCTAAATCAAAAACAGGGGAGTTCATCTCTTGACTAGGGCTGTGAGTACGACCATTTAGAGAGTCATGACTTTGCTCATCAAAGATGTGACTAGCCTTTTTGAAGTGAGCATTGAAAGCATTAGACATACCATCTGAATCTGAAATAAAAGAATCACTGACCTTCAGTTTTTGTGGGAAACTAGAAACCTTCTTGTTCTGAAGTGATTTAATTGTTTTCCAAAATTTAGAATGGTCATTAAAACAATCAGTGGTTAAGCTCAGATAGTAATCAGCTTTAGCTTTTTTAATAAGGGCTGAACATTTATTTCTGAGGACACGAAAAAGAAGCCAGTCATCACTAGTGTTAGACTTTCTAGCTAAGGACCATTGCTTATTTCGATCATGAATTAGATCAGATAATTATCTAGTAAACCATGGAGTGTTCCTATTCTTAACTCTGAATTTTCTAAGGGGGGCATGTCTATTAATAATCGATAAAAAGTTATCAATAAAAAATTGGACGGCAACATCGACAGATGGAATTAACGCTATGAAGTGCCATTTAACCTCCATCAGATCGTGTAGGAAAGCCTGCTCAGAGAAGTGTTTGAAGCAGCGCCTGAGCACGATAAGGCCCTTGGCTTTGGGCAACTTAGTGCTCCTAACGCAAGCAATAGTGCAATGGTCACTGATATCATTAGGAAAAACACCAACAGACACGTACTTATGAGCTGCATTTGTTAGAATGACATCTATCTAAGGGTATCGTTATTGGGTTTGGCAGGGTTTATTCTAGTGGGACCATCAATAAGCTGAGTTAAGTTCAAAGAATCACAAACCTGCTTAAACTGTGAAGATTTATCACTCAACCAGTCCCAATTTAAATCACCCAATAATATGATTTCAGAAGAAAACATAGACAACAATCCAGTAAGGCTAGTAGTTGCATCCATGATGGCCGATGGAGGCCTATAACAGCCAATAACAGTGAGAGGAGCATTTGCTATAGTTATTTGGACTGCTAGCAACTCAAATTGCCTTGGAATTGAAATTGAGTGAAGGACTGAGCAAGTTTCTCAGCAGAGTATATTGCAACACCAACAGCTCTGCCCTTACGATCTGCTTCATATATCATGGATTATGTTAGCATTTTACACCTAAATCACTTTTGAGTCTTCAGCTAATGGAAGTTGAATGAAATGGAGTCACAAAAATGAAAATAACATATGTATTGGTTGAACTACCACCACTACCTGGTATTATTTTCACCTTTGAATCAAAACATATACACACAACTTCCTCCTTCATGTATCAACTCTCAGATTCACTGGGAAGAACATCATAACGTAAAGGCATATTTACAGAATACATCATACATGTACAGTATATGTTGCAACTAGATTTATCATGTGGCTACTGCTGCTCTGGTGGGCTTGTGTCTGACCTACCAGAGGGAAGCGAGGCGACCGAGGCGACCGAGGTGACCTCTGACCTCTGAAGCTATTCTCAGCTGAGCAGGGGACGGGGCTGCTGCATGGACTCTTCTCCTGTACACAATTATTTTACAGTATTTATGTAATACACATGGTTTTAGGTTGATATCCAAATACATGAAGTGGTAATCCGTCTTTGATACTGACATAGAAAAAAGAACACAAGGTGTACTAGAACTACAATCAGCAATCTTTGTACTTGTTTTCAAACTGTAGTCCCAAAAATATCAAATGAAATGAATTTAACATTATGGGATACATTTCAGTTTTCAGGGAGTTAAAACCTCTGTCAATCTAAGTCAACCTGACTGTATTCCTCAATATTTTTAAATCAGCTGAGTGGTTGGTAACCAGCTGGAACTCTGTAAAAATATATATTTTTAAGACAAATACAAAACATTATCTTTAGACACAGAGACAAGATGCTTTGATTCTAATTGCAGGTATATTGGTATACTAAGTAATCACATGTATTTATAGAGACATAAGGCCTGTTGCATAACTCAGAAATTAACCTTCCTGTTCTTGGTCTATGCTAGGGGTGCCCAACCTTTTTTGAACCGAGAGCTATTTTTAAAGTTGCCAGTCTGCGAGATCTACCAGGCCAAATAGAGAGGCGTAGCCATTACTGACAGCCTACTACCAGGTAAATACACACTTCTACTTGTATAAAACGGACCTTTGTACGATTAATACTGCAGTTATCTTACCTCTTTCTAATCTACACACATACAAGTATTTAACTGAAGTTACACAACAGTGTTGTTGATACAGAGTTGGAGTTTATTCACACGTCACATACTACAGTGGGTAATGTTTTCAAGAAACATTGAACAGTGCTGCCACATATGACACAGGAAAAAAAGAAAAGACTCTGAACCCTTTCTTTGCCATTATATAAAAATAGTGTTGCTACAAAAGTATAAATTACGCTTACGACAACTCAGATCTGAAGCTACACAGGAATCTGCTGCCAAAGTGCAATAAAAAAGACAAAATTAATAGAATCAAACCCTTTTTTTGTTGCATTTTAGTAGATTATACAAATAAATGCCTTTAAAATAGGATGCAAGCAACAGTTTCTTAACCTGAATTGACAATAGACTATAATCAATTTAAGTTTGCATTCTTATACCATTGTGTACAATAATTATAATGAATAAGTTCAAACAAACTAAAACTTACAGCTGATAAATAACGGTATCTAACTTGAGTTTTTATTATATCAAAAACCTGTTGAAATGCTACTGTTATTTTTACTGTCCCCCAAAAGCGCGTCGGCAGCCTCCAGGAATGCTTCTTACACAACTTCGCCGTCTTTGAAAGACTTCATGTGTTTCGCAAGAACGTGACTGACATGATAAGATGCTCTGGTAGCAGCCTTGCTGTTGTTGTTGGGCCTGGTGAAAATGGACTGCTGTGCATTTAGCTGTCCTTTCAGGCCCCTCCCCTTTTGGGAGCGTAGGGCAGAATTAGGAGGGAATTCCGTCTCGTAGCGTTTGTGCACTGTTTTGAAATTCCGCTCCTAAATTACCCGTCTTCGATAAAGCCACGCTCGCATTGCAGATGAGACAGATGGACTTTGAATTGGAATAGATACAAAATAATCATCCTCCCACTCGGAGTGAAAATTATATATTTTGGGCTTTTTTGCTTCTGCCATAATTGCGGTCATGTGTGTGTGCGGACTGTCACTCCTGTTGCCACGGACAACGTCAGTGCACTGCCCACCAGCCACGCCCCGACACATGGGGTCACGCCGGCCAATCACAAAGCTTTGATGCGTTCAAGTGCATTATTCTGGCACAGGAAGATTATGTTATAGGACATTAATGATAAAACAGAATATTGTTGTTCTATTTTTAGACACATCTCACGATCGACTGGTTGGGCACCACTGGTCTATGCACATCATTGTCCCAACTCTTTCCATATCCTACCAATTGAAAGAATAAGTAATGCAATGCAATGTGGGAGTGATCTGATGTAAAATGTAACTTGTTTTATTTAAAAATCAATTAAACCTTGTTAAAAGTAATTTAATAGTATTTTATGCATGGCAACAAGTGACTAATGAGAAATATACAGTCTAGCGGCATATGAGAATACATGTCCTACCTCCAGATGATAACAAATGGACATCAAGAACTTGTAGGTGTTGTCTCTGGACAGAAAGGACACGAAGACGTACTGAAACAAAAAACAAAGTTTTAATGTGGAACAGATATATGAAGATTACCTTGTTGTCATTCTAGATTTTAAAGGAATGGTTTCTGTGTGAGCAATAAAATGTCGCTGAGATTAAAGTTTGAGTTTCCTGCTCACCCTGTCGTTGGCGGTGCCGATCACCAGTGCGTTTGGCAGCAGGATGGCCGTCTTGGTCTTCTTGAAGCACGAGACGGACATCACTGGGATGGCGATCTGAAACAGACAAAAACAACATAATATCCAAGATATCCCAAAAACAGACGTATCTGGGACTCAAAGAGGATTCCAGTAAATATTGTGCCTCAGTAACTTCTTCTTTCTCATGTTTACTTATGGGTGGATTTTCAGACAATGCAAAAGGGCCCAACCACCTAGACTACACAGGAGCAAGACACACAGACTTTATAGTGATTTAGCCTCTGTGGCCGCGGGGTGTGGTTAGGGCACCGGCTGCTGGAGTGATGGGAGTGGCTCGGCCGGAGACCAGACAGCTGACCAGAATCAGGTAATCAGTCACTGAATAAAAGCATATGGTAACCTGGTTCTGGGCTCTCTTGCAGTAGGCTGGGTCCTGAGAGGAAGGACTGACTCGCACACCTCCAGAAATAGAGGATAAAGAGGAGGACTGACTTCTGTGTTTTTTCTGTTGTTTGCCTAGTGCAGGGTTGCCCACACTTTTTTGGCTGGTGAGCTACTTTTGAAATGACCAGCTCACCGAGGTCTACCAACCAAAAATAAAATCCCATATTGCAAGGGTTGCTGAATAACACATTTTATTTATTCATGGGATAACTACAATAGGGCTGCAACAAACGACTAATTTGATAAGCAATTAATCTATCGATTAATTAAACGATTAATCGACTATTCTGACTATTACTGTAAGCCTTGCACAATTTCTCAAACGCTCTTAGCCATCAACTTTTTGATTTAGCTTGAGGTTGTTTTAGGCATGTGGAAACTAACAATGAAGACAATACAGATGAATACTTGATTCAAAAATACATATATTATTAAATTAACTTAACAAATTGTTTACAAATTAAATTAAATAAATAATATTTCACATCAAAATAAATCGTATTAAATAATCTGATGACCGAACTGTAAACAGAATAGCTGAAACTTTAACAAAATAAAGAGTAACTCTGTTACCTCTAATCATTAACCCATGTTTGTATAATTTGTATAAATTATTTATCTAATATATCATATTCACAATGTAGTGACTGCTTTTTTGTCTTTTGTTTTCTTAGTTATGTTCTCTTTTATATGTGTGTGTTATGTGTGACTTTGCTAACTTCTTGGCCAGGTCAGCATTGAAAATGAGATTGTATCTCAATGCTTTTATCTGGTTAAATAAAGGTTAAATACAAAATAAAAAAGATTCCAATCTGTATATAGACTCTTATTGCACTATTTCACTATTTTTTCTGTGTATCTGTTTTATTGTGTTGCACTGTTGGAGGAGCCTGCGACCTAAGGGGGGGGGGATAGGACACGTTCGATTCTTGTTTTGAATAGTGTGCCGTCGATGGGTTTCATTCCATTTCAAGGTGCTTTTTGACGCTCCGTGTAAACTTCGCGCACTGCCACTCCAACATCCAAGCTAAGCACATGGTGTAGTCCCAAACGATAGCTGAGGATTCTGGGTAGTGTAGTGTCTTCTGCCATCCAAAAACTCCGAACAAATATTCGTTTCTCCGAATCGAAGGGGGAAAATACAAAAGCATTGTACACAATTTAAACCAATCAATGTTGTGTAATTAACAAGGATAATTTGGTGTTTTTGAGTTGATGAGTAGTGCAGATATCACTGTAAAATCAATCGACAGTAAGGAGAATACTTACTTCCGGGTGTAAAATTCTCTGTTATCCAATGGGAATGGACGCTCGTAATACAATAAAGGGGAATTGATCATTATCTTTTAAATAACGTCAACTAAAGGGAACAATCTATTTGACACAGCTGAAGCTCTGGCCTTCCTTAAAAACTAACTAATTTAATAAAAATCACAGTTGTATTACACACAATGCACTGTTTTTTTAGAACAAAAAATCGTAACTAATGTAATTTTTACATTCTGACGAAAAATTAAAATGATTATGAATACAAATAAAATAAAAGAAGCCTCCCGTGAGTTACTACAAGCTAAAAAGTAGATTTTAAAAACGTTGTATAGAATAAAAGCTCACTGTGGGACGTTGTAGAAATGCGTGTGTGCACCACGACAAAAGAGCCTCATTCACTTTACATTGGGGTTTTTTGCGTGGTGCCGACACGTAAATGTAGCAGAATGCGTGACTCCACCACGCAATGCGGTGTTAAGGAGTCGTGGTGGAGTCACGCATTCTGGTGAGATCAGGTTGGTCGAACCCGGTGCATTCCTCCGTCTGAATGTGGAGCACTTTTGCTAAATGTTTAGACAAATTGCTCGTGTTACCGCCCTTACATGCTGAACTCTCTTGGCAACGAGCATTGTCCACCTCAAGACGGGTAACATTTAACCACACCTTGGAGCGCTTCTCTCCGCCATCTCCGCCGTGTGTTGCTGCATGTAGCAGCCGCGTGTGTGTAAACTGCCCCGCCCCCTCGCACACAGACGGGGGAGAGAGAGATCTCGTCTCGATTGGAAAGATCAAAAATACACCGACCATCAGAGACGTGCACACATAGGCCCATTCCCAAACCGCCCCCTACACCCTACCCCTACACCCTACCCCTCCGTTTGCGCGTTCACGCGGAGGGTCCGCCATATTGAGGGCTGTTCCAAAGCAACGAGTGTAGAGAGGGAGTGGACTATCAAGCCCTCAAACAGCGAGTCTGCAGCGGTGCTGACTTGAGACCGGTCTCTACCTGACCGGAGTCACGCTGTGTGTGTCCGTCAGGAAACACGCTGTTTACAAGTAGTTCCAGCAAACATCCACTGATAAATTGCGATGTTAACAACCTCATGATAACCTCATATGTTTTTAACTTAGGATCATACCTGTGTTTAGTCTAGAAAAAGGTAAATGTGTGCATTTTATTATAAAGTTGTGTATATTTACAGACCGTTGCAAAAACTAAGAAGCTTATCAGGTATCAGGTTTAAAACTAAAAGAGCTTTGAAACACAATGAAAGATGTTTGGAGTTTTATTTGAGTTATTCATTTAAACTTTTTGTCTAAGAGATGCTTATTTGAAACCGTTGTTACACACAGTTACGGCATTTCCTGTTTCTGCCGGAGAGAGGGGAGGCTGTCCCAAAGCTTGCTGCTGTATTTACTCCCTCCATCTGACAGGAGGGAGTCTCGTTGAGCTGCGAGTGTGGCTACAGACGGAGTTCACTCCATCACGGAGGGGTAGGGTCGAGGGAGTGGTTTGGGATTGGGCCATAGACTCTAGGTAGTGCTTGAGCACCTGCCCGTTTTGCCCTCTTGACAGCAATGTGCCCTTTTGAAAGTTCGTTTTTTACAGTTTTTTTTAATTGATTTGTTACAGTGTACTGTATGTGGCTCATGGTAACATCGATCAATTCTGGATTAAAAGCTTCTAATATATACAACAATGCCCCAAATGCGCGTTGTAATTTTGTCAGACATCCCCACACGTGCCCCGCAGCCCCTCCCTTCCCTGCTCTCAAAGTGAACGCGCGCGCAGAGCTGACAGTCAGGCCCAATCCCAAACCACTCCCTCGACCCTACCCCTCCGTGATGGAGTGAACTCCGTCTGTAGCCACACTCGCAGCTCAACGAGGCTCCCTCCTGTCAGATGGAGGGAGTAAATACAGCAGCAAGCTTTGGGACGGCCTCCCCTCTCTCCGGCAGAAACAGGAAATGCCGTAACTGTATGTAACAACGGTTTCAAATCAGGATCTCTTAGACAAAAAGTTTAAATGAATAACTCAAATAAAACTCCAAACATCTTTCATTGTGTTTCAAAGCTCTTTTAGTTGTAAACCTGATGTTTATAAGCTTCTTAGTTTTTGCAACGGTCTGTAAATATACACAACTTTATAATACAATGCACACATTTACCTTTTTCTAGAAAAACACAGGTATGATCATAAGTTAAAAACATATGAGGTTATCATGAGGTTGTTAACATCGCAATTTATCAGTGGATGTTTGCTGGAACTACTTGTAAACAGCGTGTTTCCTGACGGACACACACAGCGTGACTCCGGTCAGGTAGAGACCGGTCTCAAGTCAGCACCGCTGCAGACTCGCTGTTTGAGGGCTTGATAGCCCACTCCCCCTCCACACTCGTTGCTTTGGAACAGCCCTCAATATGGCGGACCCTCCGCATGAACGCGCAAACGGAGTGGTAGGGTGTAGGGGTAGGGTGTAGGGGGCGGTTTGGGAATGGGCCTCAGTCAGTCAGACAGGCCACGGCGGGTGTGTGGTGCAGCAGCACGCAGCAACACGATTAAAAGTGCCCTAGTGACGACCAAGTAAGTAACCATCAGGTAACAAATACAATGGGTGTATTGTTTAATCCCCTAAATCAGATGCCAAACTAAACTATACAGGGTTCGTACGGTCATTGAAAACCTGGAAAAGTCATGGAAATTCAAAATGCAAATTCCAGGCCCTGGAAAAGTTATGGAAAACAATATTTTTCCCAAAGTTTTGGAAAAGTCATGGAAATGTAACTAAAGTTGCGTCAAATATAATTTACATTTTATCTAATCGCCGAAATAATCTGCGGTCACGAGCTGTTATGTGCCATCATGACGCGCATGGTGTTATTTTTTAATATATGAAGCGCGAGCTGTGTGCTCGAGTCTTCTTGCCTGTCGGGCCGGCTGAACTCTGCTGCTCCGGGATGAGGGTCAGCTACATTATCTACGGTGTGTTCGTTAACTGTGCGGAGTCACTGTGGCACAGACTGAGCCGCTGGTGAACAGCTGTTAGAACGGGCCGTTCAGGTGTTCAGAGCAGAGCAGCAGAGCGTGATGTGAACTGAAAAGTTTTTCTGTCGCAATATCATTGTCACTATCTGCTAACGTTAGCTTTAGCCTTCGTTTTCTAATAGTTTTTTTCATAGGCTATAAACAGAAGTGGTATACGTATAGAGATTGTAGGCTACTAGAGTAAAAGTAGAAGTACTCAGATCTTGTACTTTAGTAGAAGTACTCAGATCTTGTACTTAATAAAAGTAGAAGTACTCAGATCTTGTACTTGAGTAAAAGTAGAAGTACTCAGATCTTGTACTTGAGTAAAAGTAG